AGCTCCCCGCAAGGTTTGTGCTCCGTTCAGGGTTGAGGGTTTTGGGTTTAGCGTGAGCTGGTATGCACCGCGAAAATTGCTGGGTCCTAGCGCAGGGTTTAAGGTTGAAGCGTTAAGGATCGCTACGAAAATACGCAGGGACATGGGGGACCACCAGCCTCTGCGATCCCTCCTCCTGCTCAATTTCTCCTACAACTGCTGCAACTGCTCATTGAAACAGCAGTTCATTACGAAAAGATGGAAACGGGCGAAAACAGCCCCAGAAAGCCCAAAAAGCTGCAAACCCAACCTGCCAAATCGACCCGACACAGGTTCAGTACAAAAACATGGAAACAAACGAAAACATCTCAAGGAGACCCAATAGATGGAAACCCAAACACCCAAATCGACCCAAAACAGCGGGGAGTTGGGTTCAGTCCAAAAATCTGGAAACAAACAAAAAACCTCCCACAAAGACCCAAAAAGATGGAATCCCCCCCGAAATCGAGCCGAAACAGGGGGTTGAGCTCAGTCCGAAAAAGGAGACAAACGAGAAGGCCCACTCGGCCCTCGGCCTCCCAAATCGACCCGAAGCAGGGGTTGGGTTCAATCCAAAAAGATGGAAACAAACGAAAAACCTAAGACCTCCCAAGACGGCCCAAGAAGATGGAAACCCAACCCCCCAAATCCAAATCAACCCGAAACAAGGGGCTTGGGTTCAGTACAACAAGATGGAAACAAACGAAAAACCTGCCACGAAAGCCCAAAAACATGGAACCCCAACCCCCCAAATCGACCCGAAACAGGGGGCCGCGGTCTGGGGTTGAGGGTAGGGTTCAACTCAGGTTACAACGTCGGGTCCGGCTCCCGGCGGGGGGGTGGCGGGGCAAGTTAACCCGGATGCCAACCTGGCATTGGGGTTCGAGATCGACCCGAATCCTAACCTGAGTGAAGGCACAGGTTAACAGAAAGCCTAACTCCAGGTAGCAAGTTCAGAGGAGGCCCTTCCAAGCATCCTAGAGAACAGCTTCCGGAATTGGCGCCGTAATTCGAGCGCTCTTTTGGCCCAAGTGTTGCAAGGATGTCCGATGTGGAAGCACCTCCTGTTCCTCCCCCTCAAAGAGTGGAGTTGCCGCAGGAGTGTAGAACGTCCTTCGTAAATGAATGTCCTTCCTCGTCTGGCCTGTTGCTAGGAGACTTTGTCCGCCGTCTGGCCCGCTTGCGACAGGAGCGTCAGGATGCAAAGGTGTGGTATTGTCTGCGTGTCTACAAGATGTCTTGATTAGGTAGAAGCCTGCAGCGTCGCTAAGATCCTGAAAGCAGAGCAAAGAAGACTTCGCAAGGCATGGTTTTGTCTGATGCCCCGTAGAATGTAGATGTTTGAACTTGCCCAGGCCAAGACAGTAGCACGGCAACTTTCTGAATCGCAGTAAGTAAGCCTTGTCGTTTCTCACACGATGGCACGAATGTTTTGACGCGCATTGAGCCCGGCACTGAGAGTGATCAGTGGTCAGTGAGCTTCGCTGTCGCCTCTCTGGTGTTGAACTGTTGCCCCAGCGCGAGTATCTGTTGAGCAGTGACTAAGCTCTGCCAGCTTTTAGTACGTGAGTCAGTGAGTGTGAGTGCGTGAGCTTTAGTGTGACCTGCAGCGCGTAAATTCTTCTTCGCTGTCGGGTGAGCAGTGACCAAGCTTCGCTCTTTCTTTTCCAAGGGAATGAATGTTTACGGTTTACGGCTTTGAGCCCGGTGCTGAGAGTGATCAGCGGTGCGACCTTGCTGTGACCGGAACTGTTGCGTGAGCAGCTAGTAACTTCTTCGTCTTCGGTTGAGTGTGAGTCTTGTTGTGACCCGAACTGTTGCGTCAGTTACTGAACTTTTCAGTTCAGCAGTGTGCAAGCCTTGTCTGAGGCAGGGCACGAATGTTTTACGGGCGTTGCGCCCGGCACTTAAAGCGATGACGCTGCGGAGTGGGGTTTGCCATCTGGCAATGAGGTCTGCCATCTGAGCCGGTGAATGTATGAGCGTTGCCCAAACTGCTGCCTGAGCAGCTTGTAAACTTTTCGGCTAGTCAGTCCTTCTTTTTCTGAAGGCCACCAAAACGTGGTTGCGTTGCGGTGTAGGGTTTAGGATGAGCAAGTGAGCCTTGCTGTAGTCCATGTGGGCAGCCAAAACTCTTTGTTGACATCTAGCAGGTTTTTCCGAATGCACGAATGTGAGCCCGTCATATCATGCTCATTCCCAAGTGCTTCTGAAATGTTGAGCCTGTTGCAAGGTCGAAGCTGAGCGCCGCAGTCTTTTACGTAGAGCAACACGCAGCATGGGAAATCTGGATCCGAAACTGTCCGCTTGCAGAAAGCTGGACAGGCAGACTCTACTGATCCGCCGCAGTTTGATTCGAGATTGTATGCTGCAGGGTGTGAGGATACAGACGAGGGAACCTGAACGAGCCCAGCGGTGGCGGGCAAATGATTTCACCCTTAGGACAAAGCCGGGGGTATAATACTCAGCTGCCAACTGAGTTTGATTGACTCCGGCATGTCTGGGACCTTCCACCGTTCTAATAGTGTTATACTACCCAAAGGGTGTGTAAGTGGGTTCCCTTGGTTTTTGCAGCAGATGGGGTGGGTTCCCTGTGGGTTCCCTTGTTTTTTGCAACACTTCAGGTGGGCTACAAAAGGGTTCCCTTGTTTTTTGCAGCGTTTGGGGTGGGTCTGTGTATGTCCTTCACTTAGATGTCTTGTAGATTCCCATGGTTTTTGCAGGCATGGACGGTGGGTTCCCTGTGGGTTCCTTGGTTTTTGCAGCATTTGTAAGTGGGTTCCCATGGTTTGTGGCAGTATCGACGGTGGGTTCTCTGTGGTTTCCCATGTTTTTTGCAACACTTCAGGTGGGCTACATATGGGTTCCCTTGTTTTTTGCAGCATTTCGGGTGGGTCTGTGTATGTTCTTCACTTAGCTTTCTTGTAGATTCCCATGGTTTTTGCAGCATGGACGGTGGGTTCCCTGTGGGTTCCCTGGTTTTTGCAGCATTTTTAAGTGGGTTCCCATGGTTTGTAACAGTATCGACGCGGGTTCTCTGTTGGGTTCCCTGGTTTTTTTGCAGCATTGGCAGTGGGTTCCCATGGTTTTCCAATATATATCACTCAAAGGTTTGGGCGGGCTCCCTTAGCTTTTGCAGCATGTCAGCTGGGTTCCCTGTGGGTTCCCTAGTTTTTTGCAGCATGTTTAGAAGTTTAGTGGGTTCCCATGGTTGAACAGCATCGACGGTGGGTTCCCTGTGTGTTCCTTGCTCTTTGCAGCATTGCAAGTGGGTTTTCCCAGCATATATTGCGCAAAGGTTTGGGCGGGCTCCCTTGGCTTTGCAGTGTGTCAGCTCGGTTCCCTGTGGAGTACATGTCTGTTCCCATGGTTTCTCCAGCTCGTGCATTATGTTTCAGAGAATAGTGGAGCTGAAGAAGATGTTCGGGACAGTGGCTGCAGGTGTGGCCCAGTTCCATCGCACATATCGCGCTGCATTTGGATTTGCTGCTTTGAAGTAAGGCTGCAAAAAGCACGTCTGCTGTTTGCAGTTTGGGTCGAGACCAAAGACGTTAAACAGGATCACCTCTGATGCACATGAGGCTCGCCGCCCTCCTATTGTAATGCTCTTGATAAGTTTGCTGCGGCTACATGCTGGCACGCTGATGCGAGGATTTTGCGGCATGTACTGGCAGACGTTAATCTCAGCTTGTAGCTTCAAGTGTTTCGATTGCTTGCTGTACGTGCGCGGTGCTTTTTGCGTCTGGAAGCTCCACTTGCAGGAGCTCTTTTTTCCTACAGAATCGTAGGAAGCCTCGAAGGGCCTCCCCTGTTAACATAACTTGAACCCTAACCCGCGGTTAGGGTTGGCCTTCCCACTTCCCTTAAACCGGGTCAGGGTTTGAGGGCTAAGGTTGGGTTACCCCCCTAGGGTTGCGTTAATTCCTACCTTTTTATCCCTAACCGTAACCCATACTCCTCTGATTATCGAATATTGAACACACGAAACAAATACAGGAAACGAGGGTGGAATTTAAACTCATTCTCCACTTCCCTACTGCTCTAGTCTTCAAATTTTGAACGCAAGAAGCCATAACGAGAAACGGAGGGGATGGAATTTAAACTAACTCTCAACTTACTCTCTACTTCTCTGACTTTCGAATGATGAGCACAAGCAACAAAGACAAGAAACGAGGGGGGGTGGAATTTAGATTAATTCTCTACCCCCTGATTTTCGAAAAAATGAATACAAGAAACAAAAGCAAGAAACGAGGGGGGGTGGAATATAGATGAATTCTATACTCGGAAAAAGCCCAAACACCCTTCACGGACCTCCTCCTCCTCCTCCTACTACTACTACTACTACTACTACTCCTGCTGCTGCTGCTACTACTGCTACTGCTACTGCAAAGGCCACTGCTACTACTACTACTCCTACTACTACTACTACTACTACTACTACTACTACTACTACTACTACTACTACTACTGCTACTTCTTCTACTACTAAGCTCCTTGGCTCCGCCAGGTAGAGAAAGAGATGATGATCGAAAACGTGGGCCTCTGCCACCTTAACGGTAGCAGCTCCTCTAGAAGCCTCCGGTTCACCAACCTCAACAAAGCTGTTGGCTGCATGATGGTTCACGCCCTCAGCCTCATTGGGCTCATTACAATCAGCACTGGCTCTACTCCATAAAAAATCGCATCTCCCTTCTTCCCTGGTTGGTTCTATTGTTCGGAGTTCCCCATAAACAACACTATGTGGGCAGGCCGAAACTACTACCATCGAGAAAGGGCAGCTTCTGGTCACAGAGCCTGACAGGCTCGCTTATGCTGGCCAGCACACCAGCCTGCTGCTGTCCCCGTCTTGTGTAGTACGAACGGCTTACGCTATGCTGGATGCGCCGCTAAACACGCCGGAAATGGCGGTGCTGCATCGCCCCTTTGAACGCTTGCCCCGAAGCTCGCACCTGCAGCACCCTCACAGTGGCTGCCTGTGTGCCATGCTCATCTTTTTGGCGGCCCTGCGGCCCAGCCCCCTGGTTGAGGGCTTCTCGGCAGGCAGCTACACTGGAGCGGTGTGATAGCCCTCCTCGCCCAGCGGGTGTGGGGACGCATCCCGCCTCACAGCAATTCTGCTGCGAGCCAAGCAGGACAGCTCCGCCACATCGTCAAACTTGGGGCACTAGGTATGCCGGACTTCATATTTGAACAGATCATCGGGCTTCCGATCACGTTGTGGTTGTTGCATGCAGGCGACGATCAGCTCTGCCCCTTTCGGCCGACAGCGCGCCTCAGAGAGCAATTGAATGCAGACCTACGAGGCGGTGCTGGTGGCCTTGTATGGATCACCGGGGGAACGTCCCTTGCATTGTTTGGCTCCACCTGTCATGGCTCTGGCCACCTGCTCGGACGAGTGGAGGGCCTCCCCGGAGGTGAATGCCGCGTGGAGCAAGGCGTTCCTACCGCTCATCAATGACCACGCTGAGCTGGGTCTGGCGTTTCAGCAGTTGCATTTGTTCCGATTCCCCGTGTTTAGCATTCCCTTCACATGCAAACCATGCAGACGATCTTCCCGGAAGCTGAGCTTACTGAGCAGACCTTGGCGGACCTCCGGGAGGTGCTGCCCAGCGACTTGCATGCGGAGCTCGGCACAAATGCCGCCTTCCGGAACGGCCGTGCACAAACTCAAAGACTGGCTTTTGAGCACGGTATTACGGGGGAGAGCGGCTCTTGCCGCCGCCTCCCGGAGCCGGTTGTCCGCGTCCTCCTGCGACATTCCCTGGCCAGAGTGGTGGATTTCCTCTACTTTGATCTCTTCAGCAAGGGCGCCACTCTCGCTGACTTAATTAAGTGAGGAGGGGCGTAAAGAACCCCATAGACACACTGCCTTACAGGAGCGCCTCGCAGGAGCCGGACATTCCAGGATTTTACTCTTACCGTCACCGCTGAGAGAGAGAGACATGTACAGCTTTCGGGCGTGTGTCCTGAAAATTACGGCATCGTTCCAAACGGGTGATACTTGCAATTGGTTCTCGCATGTGGAGAGACAGTATCCGCAGAAAGGCTCAGTCATTGTCTTTGAAGTGGGCGGGCCGCCGGTGCAAAGGCTTATTAGGGTCTTTTTACTACCTTCAGGCATCTCCGCAAGCTCAATTCTGGATATGTGGAGCTGCTTGTGGAATGGCCGGCATTCCTTGGACCGCCACCCACAATGCAGCAGTCGCCGTCAGTCACGCTCACCTACCATGAGTTGGTGTGCCTTAAGTCAGCCTCGACCTGTTTCGAAGAGTCCTTGAGCTGCCGAACAGTCGAGTTCCTTTGTCGCTTGGTGTGCCCACGCCAAACGCTACAAAGGCGGTCGTGCTCAGCGCTCACCGTTCGCAGCTGAGATGCACATGGTTTTGCTCTTCCTTCAGGCGTGTAAGATTGTGGTGGCGGAAAACTTGTTAGGAGAGCTGCCTCTACACCATGGCTCTCTTACAGAGCCGACCTACAGGATGTAAGGTGAAGTCACATTCGTGGCACGCGATCGGACAGTAACCAGCGTCTACATTGATGCTGCTGCTCACATACGGGGGGGCATTCAGGGGAGGCCCTTCGAGGCTTCCTACGATTCTGTAGGAAAAAAGAGCTCCTGCAAGTGGAGCTTCCCAGCGCAAAAAAAGCCCACGTACAGCAAGCAATCGAAACAGGAGAAACCATGGGAACCCACATGTACCCCACAGGGAACCGAGCTGACACACTGCAAGAGCCAAGGGAGCCCTCCCAGACCTTTGCGCAATATATGCTAGGAAAACCATGGGAACCCATTTGCAATGCTGCAAAAAGCAAGGAACCCACACGGAACCCACCGTCGATGCTGTTAAACCATGGGAACCCATTAAAAATGCTGCAAAAAATTAGGAAACCCACAGGGAACCCAGCTGACATGCTGCAAAAGCCAAAAGAGCCTATTGGAAAACCATGGGAACCCACTTCAAACGCTGCAAAAACCCGGGAATGGGAGCCCACTTAAAAATGCTGCAAAAACTAGGGAACCCACAGGGAACCCACCGTCCATGCTGCAAAAACCATGGGAATCTACAAGACAGCTAAGTGAAGAACATACACAGACCACCCGAAATGCTGCAAAAAACCAGGGAACCCATATGTTGCCCACCTGAAGTGTTGCAAAAAACAAGGGAACCCACAGAGAATCCACCGTCGATATTGTTAAAAACCATGGGAACCCACTTAAAAATGCTGCAAAAACTAGGGAACCCACAGGGAACCCACCGTCCATGCTGCAAAAACCATGGGAATCTACAAGAAAGCTAAATGAAGAACATACACAGACCCACCCGAAATGCTGCAAAAAACAAGGGAACCCATATGTAGCCCACCTGAAGTGCTGCAAAAAACAAGGGAACCCACAGGGAACCCACCCCATCTGCTGCAAAAACCAAGGGAACCCACTTACACACCCTTTGGGTAGTATAACACTATTAGAACGGTGGAAGGTCCCAGACATGCCGGAGTCAATCAAACTCAGTTGGCAGCTGAGTATTATACCACCGGCTTTGTCCTAAGGGTGAAATCATTTGCCTGCCACCTCTGGGCTCGTTCAGGTTCCCTCGTCTGTATCCTCACACCCTGCAGCATACAATCTCGAATCAAACTGCGGCGGATCAATAGAGTCTGCCTGTCCTAGCTTTCTGCAAGCGGACAATTTCGGATCCAGATTTCCCATGCTGCGCGTTGCTCTACGTAAAAGACTACGGCGCTCAGCTTCGACCTTGCAACAGGCTCAACATTTCAGAAGCGAATGAGCATGATATGACGGGCTCACATTCGTGCATTCGGAAAAACCTGCTAGATGTCAACAAAGAGTTTTGGCTGCCCACATGGACTACAGCAAGGCTCACTTACTCATCCTAAACCCTACACCGCAACGCAACCACGTTTTGTGGCCTTCAGAAAAAGAAGGCTGGGATTACGTCAAAGCAAGGCTTCGTCACTGACTAGCCGGAAAGTTTACCAGCTGCTCAGGCAACAGTTTGGGCAATGCTCATACATTCACTGGCTCAGATGGCAGACCTCATTGCCAGATGGCAAACCCCACTCCGCAGAATCATCGCTTTTAGTGCCGGGCTCAAAGCCCGTAAAACATTCGTGCCCTGCCTCAGACAAGGCTTGCACACTGCTGAACCGCTCACGCTCAACCGAAGACGAAGAAGTTACTAGCTGCCACGCAACAGTTCGGGTCACAGCCAAGCTCTCTCACCCACTGCTTCGGCAGGGCTCGCTCGCACCGCTGACCACTCTCAGCGCCGGGCTCAAAGCCGGAAACATTCATTCCCGGGAAAAGAAAGAGCGAAGCTTGGTCACTGCTCACCCGACACCGAAGAAGAATTTACGCGCTGCAGGCAGCCGTTCGTCGCAGCAAAGCTCACTCATTCACACTCACTGACTCACGTACTAAAAGCTGGCAGAGCTTAGTCACTGCTCAACAGATACTCGCTGCTGGGGCAACAGTTCAACACCAGAGAGGCGACAGCGAAGCTCACTGACCGCTGATCACTCTCATTTTTGCTCTGCTTTCAGGATCTTAGCGACTCTGCGCGCTTCTACCTGCTTTGGACGAAAGACAATCAAGACATCTTGTAGACACGCAGACAATACCACACCTTTGCATCCTGACGCTCCTGTCGCAGGCGGGCCAGACGGGCGGACAAAGTCTCCTAGCAACAGGCAGACGAGGAAGGACCATTTATTTACGAAGGACGTTCTACACTCCTGCGGCAACTCCACTCTTTGAGGGGGGGAACAGGAGGTGCTTCCACGTCGGACATCGTTGCAACACATGGGCCAAAAGAACGCTCGAATTACGGAGCCAATTCCGGAAGCTGTTCTCTAGGATGCTTGGAAGGGCCTCCTCTGTGTGAGAAAGTTCTGTTTGCAAAGTTCACATGTTTGCGAGCGTTCCACTTGTTATTTTGAGTTTTGAAGGAACACCGGCAAAATGCAAAACAGAGCTGGCGAGGTTTATATACTGTTGCATGCAACGGCCAGCTGTGCACGCAGATGTGGCATCTGCTCGACGAAAAAACGGCATAACTGGGCCCCAGAAATGGCTCCCACATCTGAGCTCGAATCTGGGGCCCCGAATTGCGTGAGCTTGTATGTCCAACGAAGAAAGCCAAAATCGGGAGCCCCGTTTCGGTGCCCGGACTAGAGCTGCTTTTTGGAACCCGTTTCAGCTGGAAAACTGCACGGAAAAACAAAATTCCTTCCGCATGCTGTTTGGATCAACGTCCAAGAAAGCCAACATGCTGTGAAATGTGAGATACTTTTGGAAAATTTGCCAAACTTGCCATCGGCTGCCGTTTCAAGACAAGTGCTTCTGTTCTTGTTCGTACAAGATCTTTCCCGCACAGGGGAGGCCCTTCGAGGCTTCCTACGATTCTGTAGGAAAAAAGAGCTCCTGCAAGTGGAGCTTCCCAGCGCAAAAACAGCCCACGTACAGCAAGCAATCGAAACAGTTGAAGCTACAAGCTGAGATTAACATCTGCCAGTAGATGCCGCAAAATCCTCGCATCAGCGTGCCAGCATTTAGCCGCAGCAAACTTATCAAGAGCATTACCACAGGAGGGCGGCGAGCCTCATGTGCATCAGAGGTGAGCCTGTTTAACGTCTTTGGTCTCGACCCAAACTGCAGATAGCAGACGTGCTTTTTGCAGCCTTACTTCAAAGCAGCAAATCCAAATGCAGCGCAAGATGTGCGATGGAACTGGGCCACACCTGCAGCCACTGTCCTGAACATCTTCTTCAGTTCCACTCTTCTCTGAAACATAATGCGCGAGCTGGAGAAACCATGGGAACCCACATGTACCCCACAGGGAACCGAGCTGACACACTGCAAGAGCCAAGGGAGCCCGCCCAGACCTTTGCGCAATATATGCTAGGAAAACCATGGGAACCCACTTGCAATGCTGCAAAAAGCAAGGAACCCACAGGGAACCCACCGTCGATGCTGTTAAACCATGGGAACCCATTAAAAAATGCTGCAAAAAACTAGGAAACCCACAGGGAACCCAGCTGACATGCTGCAAAAGCCAAAAGAGCCTATTGGAAAACCATGGGAGCTGCAAAAACCCGGGAATGGGAGCCCACTTAAAAATGCTGCAAAAACTAGGGAACCCACAGGGAACCCACCGTCCATGCTGCAAAAACCATGGGAATCTACAAGACAGCTAAGTGAAGAACATACACAGACCACCCGAAATGCTGCAAAAAACCAGGGAACCCATATGTTGCCCACCTGAAGTGTTGCAAAAAACAAGGGAACCCACAGAGAATCCACCGTCGATATTGTTAAAAACCATGGGAACCCACTTAAAAATGCTGCAAAAACTAGGGAACCCACAGGGAACCCACCGTCCATGCTGCAAAAACCATGGGAATCTACAAGAAAGCTAAATGAAGAACATACACAGACCCACCCGAAATGCTGCAAAAAACAAGGGAACCCATATGTAGCCCACCTGAAGTGCTGCAAAAAACAAGGGAACCCACGGGGAACCCACCCCATCTGCTGCAAAAACCAACGGAACCCACTTACACACCCTTTGGGTAGTATAACACTATTAGAACGGTGGAAGGTCCCAGACATGCCGGAATCAATCAAACTCAGTTGGCAGCTGAGTATTATACCACCGGCTTTGTCCTAAGGGTGAAATCATTTGCCCGCCACCTCTGGGCTCGTTCAGGTTCCCTCGTCTGGATCCTCACACCCTGCAGCATACAATCTCGAATCAAACTGCGGCGGATCAGTAGAGTCTGCCTGTCCTAGCTTTCTGCAAGCGGACAATTTCG